TGATTTTGCCGATTTATAAACGCTGAAAACTAACTTAAAAAACAAAGACAAAGAAAAAGTGGTCGGAGCAGTCGTGACGGCAGCCGACCTCACTGGCGCCATCTTTTGGAAGTTCGAATAACGTGTCTGTGCGCATTAAAGCGAAGCACTCCGAGTCCTCTGGTCAAACACGGGCGCCTCGCTGAGCCTGAAGGTTTTTTTCTACTCTGCGATTGGCTCATCCTCCCCACACTAACGCTGTGCGACCTCTGACCCCTGTCTCATTTAAAAGCGCCTCTGAGTCTGTAACGTGTGCGTTTCCATCACGTAGCTGCTGCATGGTCAGACTCTAATGACGAGTTTTCATGGTCGCTGTGACAATCAGCCAATTAGATCGCTCGTGCCTCCAGTGTTTTTCTCAGCAGCGTGCTGACATGTGTCTCTCCTCTCAGATGGTGGTGGTGTCGGACGACGTCCATGAGTACGCCGTGGCGCTGAAGGATACGGAGGAGAAGATCGCCCGCTGCCCCGCCAGAGTGAGTGCCACCGCCGCCTCAGCTGGACATCAGGGCGAGTTTTAGAAGCAGTCCTTGGTCTGAGTGACCCTCATCACTCAGGTCACTCAGACCAAGGCTCAGATTGGTGAGGTGGGTGGGGTCAGCAGTGGGACCTGATTGGCTGATTGACCGAGTCAGAAAGCTTTAGACGGATTATCACTGCAGTGGGAGAGAGGAGCTCAGGAGGTTCATGGATGCTGGGAGACAGAGGCAGATGATTGGCTGTGGCGCCCCCTGTGGGAGAAAGACCTTTGTTGCAGGCTAACAAAAACGACTGCTTATCTTTGGATTCATGGTTTACAGAGCCTCTGATTTTCCTCGACAGCAGGTGTCCGTGTGTCTGCTCTCTGTCTGACATGAGATCACTTCTGATTGGATCACGTCCAACGACACGAACGATAGAACAAAAGAGCATCTCTCAGTGAAAGGGGGGATGGCTCGGTTAACGCGCCCCTCCACCCCTCACTGGGGCGACGCATTCCCACCAACAGGCCGTCATTTTCTGCCACGCTTCGTGTTTTCATGTCGTTCTCTCTGCAGGATTTCTTTATTGATGTTCGCTGTAGTTATTAAACTCAAATGTGTTGAAGTGAGACTCATGCTCAGGCTTTATTCAGGTCACAGGCCTCCTCTGGTTTCCCACTGAATCTAGAAACCCTCGTTTAAACGCCGCTGTTGGTCCGTCCTCATTAATAAATCTGACGCACTGCTCTTTGTTTGTCGGAGCTCTTCTCGAGGTAATTGGCCGCGCTGCTGTCAGCCCGTCGTGATGCAGAAGCTCCTCTCATTAGTGCCGCAGAAAAAACTCGCTCTCTGAAGGCAGACGGGAAGAGTCGGAGGAGCGCCCCCATCAGGAGCGATGCGATCGGCGAGGGCCTCAGTCAGGCCGTGTATGTCCTCGTTAACTGCAGGGAACCAGAAACCTGCAGCGTGCACATCATGTCAGATCAGAGGCACACGTACCTGCTCACATCACCTGGGAGCGTCTCCGCTCCTGCGGTCCAGGGAATAACGGAGTAACCGAACGCGGCACGGACGCTTAATGATCGCGTGTCTGTTTCAGAGGGCCGACATCCTGGAGGAGCTCCAGAAGAGCCAGAAGGTTTTTGCGGAGAAGCTGAACCACCTGAGCAGGAGGCTGGCCTGGATCAACGCCACCATCTACTCCAAGGTGAGCAGGCCGCTCCGCCCGCTGTGCGTCCGCATTAAATGGTGGATTTTGTGTTGTTTCTGAGCTGTGTGCTGCTGCTGTCTCCAGGAGAAGATGCTGGACATCTACTGGCTGCTGTGTGTCTGCATCCGCACCATCGAGCACGCCGACAACACCGGCTCTCTGTTCGCCTTCACATCAGAGTTCTACCTCAACGTCGCCATGAACGCGTACAGCGCCCTGAAGAACTACTTCAGCCCGGCTAACGGCATGGACGAGCTGCCCGGTAAGCACCGCGAACCATCAGCCCACCCAGCCTGCAGGTGATGTTTGACCTGAGGCAGGTCGTTGAACGGGCGGGGCGCGCTTCATCAGGGTTGTTATGGTTGGAAGATTTATTTTTTTGCATTAGTCTTTACTGTGAAGCCAAGCGAGCGTTCCCTTTTCCACCTCACCTGTCGAAGGTGTCTGCAGGTGCACCTGCGCGAGTCGTGGTCCAGCTGTGCTTCAGTGTTTGATCCTGTTTTAGGTTAACGCCGTTTCTGTGACGTCGGGTTTTTGTTTCCCGTGTTTGTGTGTTTAAACGATGCTTGCGCTGAAAGTCTCCCCACAGCATCGCACCTCCACAGCCTGCACCGCTCACACAGGCGGGCTGGTTGTGTTCTCCCCACCTCTGAGCCGACCACGTCGCAGCAGACGTAAGGAGACGTCCAGATTGGTCGGTTTGTTTTTTCTGTTCTTAGCTTCAGGAGTGAGACGGCGTGATCTGCTGCTGCTCTTCTGCGCACCTTGGTTATAACGAGTTGTTATTTTATTGGTTATCGATTAGCGGTTATTTCTTTTGACTTCCTGTCAGCTCGAAGCAGTCTGCCCTTCTCCTCTGACCTCAGCAGGGCGTTTCCTGAACTCTAGAGCAGGCGTGTCAACCGTACGAGATGATTTCATCTGTCAGTCGTTAACTGGCCGCCAGTATGTGGGAGCCGGACCTTCAGCCCTACTGGGAACCCATGCAGACAGGGCGGCGCAGTATTTTGATTTTGATGGGCACACCATGTGGTCATCTGTGAAAGAAGAGGGCAAAGCTTCTTTAGCAGCAGTACCTGCTCGGCACGGTTCACCACGGTTATCAGGGTTTCATCAGGTCGTAGTACCTGGTACCAGGTGATCCGAGCCGGTCCTGCAGCTCGCAGTCTGACGGCATCAGGGAAAAGCTTTCCCCTCACAGTCCTCGTGCAGATGAAATGTGCTTTGTGATGAGATGCTTCATCGATTCATTTGTTAGTACTTGAAGACACTTCCATCCTCGATAAAGCCGACTCCAGGTCACTGAGGTCATACGGTCTCATTTTAGCTGGTTTGACGTTTGCGTTACTTGATGAAGTGGACGGACTTTTACTATTATTTTATTAGTATTTGTAGTAATTAGCTCGACCCCGGATGATGCACGTGTATTTACGAGCCACTACGAGTTTTCGTGGACCTCCAATCTGTGGCTTGCAGACCCCTGGGGGTCCGTGAACCCCAGTTTGAGAGCCAATGGTCTAAATGAGCCTCACAGGCCTGAATGTGTGTTTGACGCCGTTTATAATCATTATAACTACAGACTCTGCTGCTCATCACAAACAAGCACAAGCAGACTTTTTACTGTATTTTCAGAAGTTTAAACCTCCGTTATGGAGACACACACACACACACA